AGGGGTATGGGGGAAGGAAAGGCAGTGGAATGAGATAGACGTTATTACTCTAAGTAGAAGTATAAAGACATGAATGGTGACTCTACGTTGTGAACAACCAGAGATATAAAAATTGTGTTCTATATGTATAATATGAATTGAAATGCATTCTGCTGTCAAATATAACAAATTAGAAACAATTTTTTAAAAATTTAAAAAGTTACAGCTTTCTAGTAGATTTTTCCTTTATCAATATTAAATATCTTTTTTGAGTTCCAGAAATTTTTACCTTGAATTCTACTTTGTTTGATAGTACTATTGTTGTAGAATCATCATGTGAGTACTTGGCAAGTACATATGTTTTTTATATTCCTTCATTGTCAACAATTCTATTACACGTTTTCAGATTTGTCTCTGGTAAATAATAGATGATAGGTTTCATTTTTAACCAAACTGACATATCTTTCTTACTAGGTCTGATAAAATTGTTTACATCTATTGTAGATAGAGATAGGTTTCTATTAGTTTTACTATATTTTTATTTACCAAGATATTTTTAAGCTTTCTTGCTTCCTGTGGATTAGATGGATTAGATTGTATTTTTCAATGTGTTCCTCCTTCTGCTTTGATGGTAATATATTTTTATCTATTCTTTAGATTGGGGCTGTGTACATTTTAATTCACATATAGAAACTCACACTTCCTTTCTAAAATGTCAAGAATATCTATATGCTATACTTCTCTACAAAACAAAGAATTTAGTATGCATTTATTTCCTTATATACTGGTCCTTGCTCCCCCATCCACCCAACTACTTATATTAATAATTTATGGAATTTCATTTCCAAATTGTTTATTTAACACAGATATATATTAGTTGTATATATATATATATATATATATATACACACACAACTAATTTTAAGTTAGCAATATTTAAAAATGATGCCTTTGTTCGCCATGTTTCTTATTAATTATTTCTTCTCAGATTTGGTTTTCTTCTTGCTGAAATCATCTGCTAATAGTTTTTTTTTTTTTTTGCATTTTTTTTTTGGGTTCTTTTTATCCTTAAATGCAATAGAATTCATTTTGACATAATTATAAAAGCATGGAATATAACATCCTCTAATAATTCTTCAAAGAAGATAGGTATAAACATTGTTTGAAAATGACCTTAATTTTGGAGAGAAACTGATCATCTGATTTATTCCATGGATGCTCGGAAGATCTGGCCTCACCTCTGCCTCTTCGCTAAACTCTTCTGCCTTCCTGCTAAACTCAAATGACTACCAGCTGCTGAAACCTTAGCTCCTGTCTTGCAGTCCCCAAATCCTGTCCCATGACTCAGGCAGTCTGAGTTCCTCATTCCTTCTGTCAATTGGACGGTGAACAGTTCTCAGAACACAATGGAATACCGACTGAGCTTCGTCCATGAAACACGTCAGTTCTTCTGCTCCCAGCAGAACAGCTGTCTTAAACTGAACTTACGTTGTGGTGGTTTTAATAAAGACTCATCTAATGACTTCTACTTGTTTTCTTCATCCACAAATTCATCCTCTTTGTTAAAAAAATTGTTTAACTAAATATTATTTTCCTTAATTTAAAAAATGTTTTTATTAGTCCATTATAGTTATACATAACAGTGGGGTTCATTTTGACATATCCATATATGCATGGAATATAATTTGCTCCATTTCAGTCCCCAGTGCTTCCTATTCCCTTCCCTCTTACCTCCACCTGTTCCCCTCCTTCTACTCTCCTGGTATTCCATTGATTGATTGTTTTTGTACCGGGGATTCAAACTAGGGACACTCAAATACTGAGCCACATCCCCAGCCCTTTTTTGTATTTTTATTTAGAGACAGGGTCTCACTGAGTTGTTTAATACCTTGCTAAATTGCTGAGGCTGGCTTTGAACTTGTAATCCTCCTGCCTCAGCCTCTGGAGCCACCACGCCCAGCTATTTATTGTTTCTTCCTTTTTTGTTTTTTAATTGGTGCTTTGTACCTACATTAAGGTGGAATTCACTGTGGTATGTTCATATATGTGCATAGTGTATTTTGTTTAATATCATTCCACATTTCCTTCTGCTTCCCATTCCTCCTCTCTCCCAGTCAATCCCTTCTTCTACACCACTGATGTCCCTTCTATTTTCATTAGATCTCTCTCCTTTTCTTTCCTCTTATTTTGCTCTAGCATCCACATGAAAGAAAATATTTGACCTTTGACTTTCGGGTCTGGCATATTTCATTTAGCGTGATGTTTTCCAGTTCCATCCATTTACCAGCAAATGCCAAAATTTCATTCTTCTTTATAGACAACTAAAACACCATCGTGTATATAGGCCATGTTTTTTGTTTTGTTTTGTATCCTTATCTCGTGGCTTATGACCTTACCACTGAGAAGCCTGTTTTTAGCAGTGATCAATTCCATATTTTGGAATTGGCATTTTTCCCTGCTTCTGTAATTTCCTGCTAGGGCTGAGAATTATTGCTGTGGTTACCTATGTCCTTTCCTTTTTAGGGATCCATACAATTTCTGGTCCACCAAAAACCTTTCCTCTGTTTCACATAAATCCCAATATACTTAATTTTCCTTAAAATACGGCTTTACAAATCACACATAATGATTTTGTGTTAAAAGGGAAGATTTCAGAATATGTACAAATTGAAGAGCTATTTCTTATTTTTGTTTGTTTGGATGGGTCCACGAGAAACTAGCCCTCTGGGGTGTCCAGAGGAGGACATTTGGTTTCACTCTAGATATTTCTTTATCTGAATTTCAGCTTAGTAGCTTCCTTTTGATTCAAAACAAAGAAGGACACAATGTATTGATTATCTTCCTTTCTTCCCTCCTAAGGTTCCTGCCAGTTTTCTTTACCTGAACAGGTGCCCTGAATGTGCTTCTTACCTGTGTGAGCAGCATGACAGGCTCCTAGTCGTGTTTTCCAGTTGGGTTTGCTCAGTGGGAGGCTTCAACTGGGGATCAGACAGTGGGAGGAGAATAAGGATGGGATATTTATCCCTGGCCTCCTGTCCTGCTGTACCTTGCCTAATCACCTTACATTGGCTCCATTCCCTTACTGAGGACAACAGGTGCTAGGCAGCCCTTTGCACACAGTGAGCCTTTCTTCCTCACTTGATCCTCTGGCCTAGGGGTAGCAGTGGCTCCCTCTGTGTGGAGAGCTGCCTTTCATGGCTCGCTTCTCTGTGCCCTGCCTACACTTGGTAATTAGTTCCTTTATTAAACCCTCCTCAAATGACTCAGCTTGAATATCACTTATTTTTGCCCTGGACACCAACCCATAATAAAAACAAAGCCAAACAGAAAAAAAAATGAAAACATAAAGTGTACAGGTAACTTAATTATATAGCTTGGTCTTTGGGGTGTTTCATAACAGAATAACATATTTAAGGAAGAATGTAGGTGAAGAAAGCTTATTTAAAGAAAATATGCCACAGAGGGAAAGTAGTAGTAAATGTTTTATGAGTGCAAACTTGAAGTTTTCCTCCATTTCCCTGTTCAGGCTGTTGCTGGGGTTAGGGGCCTACAGGGAAGGAGTGAGTTCTCACTGATACTCGTCTTGATGCAGCGCTGTGGGATTATGCTGGGAAGATTTATAGACTCTTAGAGCCAGAAGGGGCCAAGGGGACTAGCTAGTGCAGCCATGAACTGCACAAAGCACTGCATAATTTGTGATACAGCTTAAGGTTTAATTCGTGAGGCAAATACTTAAAAGCCACCCGCACAGTGCTGCTTTTTCAGTGTGCCTATTAAAATTTTAATGGCTAAAATACAGTACTATTTCCTCACTGGAATTTCAGAGTAGTTAATAATGCCAACAGGAACACACGGGAAGCCGTACTGTGTATAAGAGACTATGTTCAAATTCCCCATAGTTCAAGGCTTTCTGAGTACCATTTCACTTAGTTCTCAGCTGAACTCCACATAGTGGATACTGTGGTTATTCTAATTTTACTGAGGAGGAAAATAAGGTAAAGGAAAGTTAAGGGACTTATTCATCATGACAAGGTCATTAAGTGATGGAGCCTGAACTCAAATCTGAACGGTTTGACTCCGAATGCTCTTGTACACTGCATTGTTCCTTTAGTCACAACATGCATGCAGAAATGTGCATGTACATCTAATAAGGAAATATTATTTTGTGTCTATCTAGCATATCATATACGTTTTTCCATGTTTTTAAATACAACATAATGTCAGTTGGGTTTTTTTTTTTTTGTGTGTGTGTGTGTGTGTGTGTTTGTGTGAGCACTCGAGCGCGCCAGGGATTGAGCCCAGGGGCATCTAACTACTGAGCTACATCCCCAGCCCTTCTTATTTTTGAGATAGGGTCTAAGTTTCTAAGTTGCATAGGGCCTCACTAACTTGCCAAGGCTGGCTTTGAACTTGCAATCCTTCTGCCTTGGCCTCCCAAACTGCTGGCATTACAGGCATGAACCACTGCATCTGGCTTATATGTCAATTAAATTATTGAATCATATTCTGTTATATCAATGAATATATTTTGTTAAATCAATTTCATTGTCAAATACAAATTTGCTCTATTTCCCCTTCAATTATTCCTTTCTGATCTTAACTTTTTTCAGTGTTATAATTTCTGACCCCAACTTTTCCTTAATCTTCATATTCTCATCTGTAAAATTATGATTATAATACTTTTGTCATTGAATGATTAACTACATATAATATATAAGTTAGCTACTATTTATTATACTCATTGTTATTCAATAGAATGCTATTTATTATAATCATTATTGTTGAATAAAATGTTGCTCTTTCGATTCCAAAATGCAATTGTTTTCACTGCATATCATCTCAAGTCAAATGACTTAGCAAAAAAATATGTGTGGGGAACACATGTGTGTGGGTTATGTGTGTGTGTCTTTATGGATGTGAGAAAGAGAGCTTGCATTTTAATCAGAACAACATTTCAGCTACTAAAACAGAGGTTGCTGATTTGACATAGTGTTAATGAAAGAATATTACAAAATCCTTATTTTTTTCTTTTATTTAAAATGTAGTTGTCACAACACATCATATAATGAATGAAGACCTTAGGATCACATTAAAAAATTTTAAAACATCTCTCTATAGTCACAAAACATGAAACATGCTGCAAGGACACAAATGCAGTTTGATACCACAGTCTCAGTACATTTTCACCATGAAAACAAACAGGGAAGCACAGACTGTACAAGGGTTTTCTCCATTTCAGCAGGAGCTGATGTGTCTTTTCAGTGGGGTTCTTTCCTTGGAGAATGTATCATTGACAGAATTTTACAATCTCATTGAAATTACCACTGATTTCTACTTCTGAAGGAGTCATCATGTTAGAACTACCACAACACAAGTTTGCAACACATATTGGCACAATATGAAAAATAAACACTTTGAGTTTTCAGCTCATCACAACAATTGTTTTTAAATAAATAATTATTCCTTATAGTGCATATTTTATTTTACGGTTCATTGCCCATTGACACAAATGAAGCTGAATAAATAATACAGTAGGTAGTTTATTTACGTCTTCTTTCATAATTCTGCATTGCACTCCTTTCATAAGCCACTGAAAACAGAGGGGAAATAAAGTGTATTTTAAGAAGATTGAGTGAGTTAAATAATATTCAGTGCACACAGTAAACTAGTATAAATTTGTAATAATTTTTTCCCTCCACTGAAGCATGGCTAAGAATTTTATTTTTACATTTTCTAATCCTGCCTCACTCTCTATTCTGATTCTAAGTGATCTAACCACAGAACACTTGGACTCTTTGGTCATATGTTACATATTTGATGCCTCAAAAGCAATATATTGTATTTCTATGATATAGTGCAATATTGATCTTCAGGAGCTTTTTCTATTATCATGGCAGACATAGAGACATGCTTAGTAAATTATGGAAAGGATCATGCCTGAAGTAACTGGGAATATTAGTAAGACAAAAGTGAAGAATGAGACTTTTATTCTAGGACGAAGGTCAATAAACTACTGACCACGAGGCAAATCTAGCTCACCCTTTACTGTTGTAAATAAAGATTTATTGGAACACAGAAACTCAGTTTATTTAGATATTATCTTCAGCTGCTTTGACTTTAATATGGCAGATTCTAATAGATGCTATCAAGTTGGCATGGCTCACAAAGCCTGAAATATTTACGATCTGGTTCTTTTCAGAAAAAGTTTGCTAGTTTCTGTCTTAGAAGTACATGATGCTATGAAGGTCTCTTCCTCTCTTGATGGACAGTTCTTGAGGTGACAGGCAGACTCATTTTCTGTAGGTAAGTCAATTGAGCCCTCTAAATACAGCACAATTTAACTTACCTCCTAGCACCCTACTGGCCAGTGAAATATTAATCACTGCTTCCAAAGGTACTTAACACAAAACTCATAAGAAATTTAAGTACTTTGACTCTCTGGACAAAAAAAATGCAAGCATTTTATTATATTTTATTATGTTCAATTTCAAAGGGATCTATAACCACAAATGGGTAGGGATCAGACTCTTGAAATACTATATCTAAGAATATTTTTCATCAACTTAGCCAATATTTCAGACACTTAGATTTACATTATAGTGAAACTATTGTGCCTTTTGAAATTCAGCATGCCATGTATAAAAATACTTAATTTAAGTAGAAACAGCAGAAGGAAGATCCATAGGAATCTTAGAAGGTACCCTACAGCTTCCTTACTGAGAAAGGTTTATTGAGAGAAAAGATAAGTGCAGACACCAGATTTAGCACTTCCTCTAACACTGACCTCTAATGTCCACCCACTCTTAAGTGAGGTGAACAATAAGTTGAATGTTTTGCATCAATGTTGTCTGCAATTCCGAGGTGGGACAGACTAAGCCCCAAGATGGACAGTTGTGAAGGAAGGAAAAGTTCCTTTGTCTGCCTGGCTGGCTTTTATCAGAAAGAAGGTGATGAGCACAAGCTCAGTCCCTGGCAAGCTGGGGTAGCTACCTTTATTCCCACAGTTCCATTAAAGAAATGAGATGAATCCCAATTAAACTAACTACAGACAGATTAACAATTTCGCTGGGGCAAATATGTTTTTCCGTGGAAGCAGAGTTTCTTACCTGCTCCTTAAACCCTCTGAAGATGTATGCCAACTTTTGTGTGCCTGAGCTGGTGTGGGTTTCTCTGGGAAAGGGTTTCTAGATCATCTGTGACTGTGAAAGGCTAAGGATCAGGTGGCTGTGGAATGTGAGTAGGATAACCTTGTCCCACTGACCATATGAAGAGGTTCTTGATAGACAATGGATTCTTTTTTTTCTTTTTAAATTTTTTAGCAAATGGAAGAACAAAGATTTACTTAGAAGATGATTCTGCTTTATGGCAGTGGTTCTATGTATCATTACCTATAATTATTACTTTAGGTACAATTAATCTGTTCTAAACTGCACAGCATCTATATTATTTGTCAAGCATGTTCTGACAGCTATATCAAATCTGGAAATGGAGAGTAGATGACTAATACAATTACGAAGAAAATCACAGTGAAGTAAGGACTAGCATGTATGGATACAAATAAATGTCTCTGTGGTTTAAATTTCTATCCCATTTCCTAAAGCTAGAAGACAATATGTAAATAAAACAATTATAAATTTTTCATGAAGTACAGTTGTAACTGTACTTAAAACAAGATTTTATAACATAAAATTGAATAGCCTCAGAACTACTGGTGACAAAATATAGAGGTAGTGTCTACATTTAGAAAGAGAATAATCAATAAAAATATTAGGATGATTATTTTTTCATGAATCTAGATAATTAAGAATTAAGTCATCACAACTTAGTTACAGATTTTTTAGAAACTAGATACATTCTAAATGAATAGGACAGCTGCTGAATACTTTCTGAGTAATTAGATGACTACTATTTTAATTTATTTTCATTCAAAGTAAAATAAAGAGAATATGACTAGCTTTTCCAAGGAGCCATAGCTGAGGGCTAACCAGGCTTGAAGGTGCTTGACAAAAAATCAGTTTCCATGAATATGATAAAGGGGTTATTTAACCTTGAAAATAGTGTGATGAAAGAGTTAAGAAATAAGGGTTTTCAGATATACGTATGTAGCATTTACACAGACAATGCAAACTCAAGAGAAAAAAGAAAACATGCAGCCTTTATATCAAACGAAGGAGTTGTTCAGATTTAAGATGGGTTATCAAAAGTGTGGCATCTCTTCTCTCTAAGGGTTCCACAGCCAGAACTGGCTTATAACACTCAAGGATAATTTGACTGTGTTCCTTTTTGGAGGCATTAAAATGGATGATAGCACTTTCATCCTTTCCAACATGCAGCAAGACATTGAGATTTGAACTTCTATAACTTTATAATGAGCAAGTGATTTGAATAACATTTTTCTTTGTTTTATTATTATTTATATTTGTCCTCCCTGTACCCACCCTTCCTGCCTCATAAGGTTGAGTATAGCTTAGAGAGCAGATCTAAGAGAATGAGCATGAGACCAGCCCAAAGATTCAGGGTGGGTAATGATTAAATGGAACAGACTCTGGTAAAGCTCATGGTTTGAGAGAAATCAACCAATACTATGGGGATGTTTATATATAATTAGCTATAAATCTACTCTTGGCTCAGGTGCTACAGCTAAATTTTTTCACTATCATTACTCATTTTAAGTCTATTATTCCTTTTGAATATTTTGAAAATTATGCCTTATAAAAACAATAGAAGCAGATTTGAGGTACTGTCAATCATGATTTCATACATACCAGAATTTAAAGCTCTTTTGCCCATTAGTCCAACAAAGGAATCTGTTTTATGCCCTGAAAAATACATTTAGGGGTATTTTAATATGTATATCTTTGAGGATATAACTCTTATAACTAGTACAAAAAAGCACACTTTTGAATATATGCCTATATAAAAAATATGCATCTAATTCAAGTTTTGTCAAGGCTAAAGAAATAAAGATTCCTGGTAAGTTGTATAAATTACACTAAAACAATACAAGAGAACTGTTCTCAATTCTTTAAATAGTAGCAAGTACCTTTCATACATATTATGTTTTATCTATTATACAAAGTTGTAACATTGTTGATATTTGAGCCAGTTGTGATTTTGGGGGGAGTCAATTTTACATTCGTGTGAGAGAGAAATATCCAAGTTTATTTCTTCATATTATTGAACATTTAATTTCTTAGCAAGTGAACATTAGTCAATTCTTCTAAAAGGTCACTTCTAAAAGGTCACTGTTTTATTGAATTAAAAAAAATACCTTGGGAAAGTATATTTGTTTCTATGTTAGTAGAGTACATTTATTTTTATTATATATTCACTATGTATAGACTTTCCCTTGAAAGTCAAATCCTTAGAAAGTAAATATGAACAAAATATATTTATCTGCATAAGTAAAGTCTTCAGAAAAGGTTATGATTTTGATGTTAGTGTGAGAATTTCTCTTGTTTTTTAGTGTATTAGTTGAGAATAGGGCTGCTACCTTACTAGGGCCTACTCTGCCACCCAGGGAATCAAATCCAAGACAGGATGCTAAGTGGGCAATATGACTTGGGACTCCTGTCAACTTTGGTTCTATTAGCTACAAACTGGGATCTATTGACCTTCCAGTACCACTGTTCTTCACTATCCTAAGAAATGTTTCACTGTACTTTGATAGAGCTTCCCCCTTTCAATTATGGGATCAAAAAATTGCATCTCTATCCATCTTTATGTTTAGTGTGGATTCTCTGCTCAGATATTCACTTACCCACTTTAATTGGCTGCTACATGATCCCCCAAAATGATGTTATGGGGTTCATTTCACTAAAATGAATTAGAAGATATAAATGCTTGGGATTTTTTTGCTGTGTAAGTGGGCATGAGGAGGGGTTGGAAATGAATGTGTGGGATGGATTTCTTAAACCTAGTATTAAAATTCTAAAACTAACAATTTAGGATTGTTAAAGGACATTTTCTTTTTTAATATAATGCATCTTTTCAGTAACTATAAGTCTAAATAACAAAGTTTGTCAAATTAATTATTCATTTAACCATATTCTGGATGAATTTCCTCCATTCTGACATTGTATTACATAAAGTAGAATTCAATACAATTAAAATTAGCATTTGATAGATGTCAAAATAATTTAGAGCTTACTTTTGTGAGAGATCTGGCCATGTCCTAGGAGAAAGAAAGATAAAATTAGCAAACATATATAGTTTTGTTTTAAAGAAGTTACACAATACCTTTTAGAGAGAATTATAAAATAAACTGATTTTCAAAATATGTAAATTTTCCACTTATGTGCTATCCTGAAAAATACAAAATAGAACTAGAATGCTAATCAAGTTAATAATAATAATAATAAAGCTAGATATTTTAACAAACAAAAGGAATATCTATTAAGTAACATCCATGGGTCACGAATTCAAACCCAGATCTATGGGAATCTTGAGGCTTGTTATTAACTATAAATCTATGCCATTTAAGGATAGCCTCTCTCTCTCTCTCTCTCTCTCTCTCTCTCTCTCTCTCTCTCTCTCTTACACACACACACACACACACACACACACACACACGCACACCCCGCATTTGGAGGGTATGCATATCTATCTCTTAATTTAACAGAAATAATTAAGATCTTGTATTTCAGCCCATAAAATATTTCTTCACTTTCCTCCTACATGTGCATTCACAATAGTAAAATAAAGATTTATAGGAATGTTTACCATAAAGAGCCTTTAACAGGGCCACTTGTTTTTCAATTGAGGAATCTGACAAGAGACGAATGGACATTAACTATTCACAAGTTTCAGGGATGGTGGGATGAACTCAAGGAAACTGAATATTTCTATCACGCAACAAGGGGCAGCCAAATCTAATCTAACCCCAGACAATGTTCTGAAGTCAGTCTCCACATGCACTTGAACCATTCAGAGTCTCTCCTGGAGACCCCTGGCCTTCCCCTTCTTAGCGGTGGGATCTTTAGTCAAGAGTGTGTTTAGCTAAAGTTGGTTCCTGCTTTGGGTCTCTTGAATTCCATGAAACGGGTGAAACAGATCTTGCCCTTCTAGGGGCAAGTGCATGTGTTAGGTGCGGGCCAGAATCTCATCCTGAGAGTTACACCTCTCTTAGGATGGCAATGTCTATCAAAAAGCAGGAGACACTTGGCTGCTCCAGGAACAAGCTAGCGAACAGGACGGCTTGCAGGGAGAGACCCAGGGACCCTTGTTTATCTCACCAGCATCCCGTTTGCCCATTAATCCAAAGAACTGCTGAGGTTTGGGTCTCCGGGCCATTCTCTGCAGAAGATGCTCAAAGGGCTCCGGCAGCTCTTCCTGGGGGACAAATTGGGCGTGTAGGTAACTAGAATGAGGCTCCCTGTAACCCCAGCCATTCTCACCGTGAGTTCTAATAGCTCACCAACCTGGACTGCAAGCTGATGTGCTCACTCGGGAAGGCAGCTTAGCCCAGAGAAGAGAAGCTGGCGGGCTCCCCCGCTCCGAGACTAAGTGGAGCCTGTCCCGGGCTCCACATCTCTGCCTCCACCTGCCCCGGGCTGCCTCCTTCCCATCAGCCGACCCTGGCTGGTTGGCAGCCCCGCGGCATCTTTCAGCCCAGAGCGCTCTCCGCTCTTTCCTTCCATCCCAAAGAATTTTACTTCATCCACCGCGCTGCCACCCTCGACCGGCCACTGGTGCTGGCTTTGGAGACCCCTCACTGCCCCAAGGTACACAGGTGTGCGGGCGGCGGGGTTGGGGGTGGAGAAGAGTGACAATGCTTTCAAGCGACCTGCACCAACCACTTACACTGTTAGCACGACGCTCTCAGCCTCGCGCCAGCCTGCGAGCCATCTAAAGGGAAACTTGTGGCTACTTTCTCAGATCCTCAAAGTAAGGATCCAGGCAGGAGGTTAGCTTCCCACCCACCTCGGCCCTTCTAAGTTCCCCGAAGCTCTCCCTAGTCATCGCTTCTGCCCGCGACCGACGCGCCCTCTTCTGTCCCTAACATTTCCAAAAACGCTCCGGCAGCGGCAGCGCAGCTGGACGGAAGCCCCTGAAATCTCTGTTACTAGGGAATGAAATCTTGTGAGGTTTCCAGGCTTGGGACGACAGGGGCACATCAGGAAGGCTCTCCAGGGAGTTCCTGGACCCGACTGTATAGGAAACTTATATCTTGGGCGCAAAATCCCGAGGAGAACCTGGGGGTGGCGCCCCTTTACACCCCTCCGCGCGCTTCTACTGTCTCGGGTCGCGGACTCGGTGCCCGCCAGGCTAACTCGGGTGCTATCCTAGGGGAATGGTAACGGCTCCGACCCAGGAAAAGCAGCGCGGGCCGTGCCGGGATCGAGTCTCACCTTGATCTGATCACTGTCGGACCAGTCGGACCAATAATTTAGGTCATCGTTGGCACCGATTTCTTCCGCAAACAGTTGAGTGGAGACGAGAAAAAAGACTGCCAAGGCCACGAGGATTTTCATGTTGGATTTCTGGGACGAGTGCGGGAGAAGACACCAAAGAGAGGGAAGGAAAAAAAAACACGTATATAAACCTCTAAGAGTTAGAGCGGCAGAATATTTGGCCCCACAACGGAACTCCGGTCCAGTTTAACCAAGATAAAAAGCATAAGAGGTACATCTCTCGCCTGGACTCTTTAGGAAAGAGAACCACTCCCCAAGGATTCTCAAATCCCCTTGTCCCCTAGTCTTAGCTCCCCAGACCTAACCCACTAACCCATACCCTCCAGTCTGGAGGCTCTGCAGGTGGAAGACAAAGAGGGGCGTTGGCACTTGAGAAACAAATCTCCCCACAGTCCCCAGAAGCAGCCACGCACCGGAAGGTCGCGTGTGGCCCCCTTGGACAGATGCGCAGTGGGGGAAAGCCCGGCAGCCACAGCTGGCGGTACGCGGGTACTTACTGCGGCGGACCGACCCGCAGGGATCCTGTGGCGTCTGAGCGCCAGGCGAGCGCTCAGCCCTCTCGGTTGCAGCTGTGGTGGAGGAGGAGGTCCGATCGCGCTCTTTTGCCTGCTCGGTGCTTCGCGGTATTTATCTCAGGCGTGACGAGCTTCGAGACACACGTGACACTCTCCCCACGCGACTTTCAGCTCAATATTTAATTAGCCGCCCCCTCTCCTTTCGCTTGCGTGATTGAGAGTTTCCGAGACAGTAACCCGTCGGTTCCCATAACATCTGGACCCAATTGGGTTCTAAATGACGCAATTTTAGGAAAATCCAGGTCTCGCCATCCAATCCAGAGCAGTCTGTCTTCTTCCATCGGCAAATCTGACGCCCCCTCCCCTATCCTTCGGAACAGGGCTCAGGGACACCTGAGATTACTCATCAAAATTGAGCAAAGTGACTCATTCCTCGGACTTCCACAACTTTTTTTCTTTTTCCATCTGGAGACGTCAGGATAAGTTGCACTTTTGAGGGCGGCCAAACAACTTCAGGCGTTGAAATTCTGTCTTAGGAAATCAGGCTACGTAAGAAAAACCTCGGTTGGGATGTGGATTTTCTCTCTCTCTCTCTCTCTCTCTCTCTCTCTCTCTCTCTCTCTCTCTCTCTCTCTCTCTCTCTCTCTTTCTATTTCTGCCTTCCTAGAGTTTTTCGTGTTTCTGAGCTATAGCATCTTCCTATGACTGCAACGTTCCTCTCCTAAATCAACCAGAATACTGTCATTTCTTCAGCATTACAAAAGGATTTTCGGAGGATGGAAACAGGTTTATTTTACCCTTGGGAGATAGGGGAATTGAAACGTGGCACTGCTTGTAGAGATTACTCTTGCATCAATGCCATCCTAGGATATCTTTTGTTTCAAAAGTCCCATTCCTTGTCACACCCAGGAGCAGGGGTCCGGTGGGGTGGAGGGGAGTAAATGTCCAAACTGTTCTTGCTGAAAACCCCAAACCAGCAAGACGGTATGAGGATGCATATACCGTGTCACTAAAGAGCTTACAGATCAGCCATAGAGTTCTCTGTATCTGAAAGTATAGTGACAATGCCAGCTGCGTGGTCACTAGCAAATAAAATTATTTGACAAATAACATCTGTCAAAAAAAATGACATCTGTCGCACAAATTACATTTCTTTCACCTCTAAAGGAACTAAATGCTGTCACATCTTGTTTTGAGTTGTTCTTAGTATTATTTTTTCAATTAATTATATTATGTAGTGTGTAAAAGGAATAAATTTTTGCAACTCAATTAAACCAATAACATTTTCCCCTCTAATATTTGTTCTTTCTTAACCTTGAAGTTATAAATTCCCACGTGTCTCATTTGTTTAAATGTAAACTCACAATATGAGCATTTTAATTTTGTTTTCAAAACACTGTATAGGGAATATTATAAACATGCACAAAAGTAGAAAAGCTAATCCAGTTAAAACAATTTTCAAGTTTTTATCTACAACTTTTCCTAATCCCCCCACCAGAATATTTTAAGCAGATTCTAGACATTTCATCATTTGCAACTGTAAATGTTTCAGCCAGTCTATCTAAAAGGTAAGGATTTTTTTCCTAGTAAAAACATAACCACGTTAACATTCCATTTAAAACGACATAATTCATTTTGCCATTAAATATCCATCAACATTCAAATGTTCTCATGTAGCTCATAAGTTCTCCCTACCTCATATAATTTACTGGTTGAAATCAGAATTATAATGAAGTTCATACAACACATGTCTTATCTCTATCAGACCAGACAGTTATAATGAAATTCCTTGAGCTGGGTTTCTTATAAACAACAGAAGACACCCCCACCCCGGCCCCTGCCCCCCAGTCATAGTTCTGAAGTCTGGCAGTCTGAGATGAAGGTATTAGCACCGCCTGGTTCTGGTGAGGGCTCTTTTCTAGGTTACAGGCTGTCATCTTGTCTCCTTTTTGTATCTTCTAATGGCATAAAAAGGGCAAAAGACCTCTATGGAATTTCTTTTTTGAGGACACTAATCCCATTCTTTTTTAAAAAATATTTATTTTGAATTATAGGTGGATACAATATCTTTATTTCATTTTCATGTGGTGCTGAGGATTGAATCCAGTGGCTCATGGGTGCCAGGCGAGTGCTCTACCACTGAGCCACAACCCTAGCCCTACTAATTCCATTTTTTAAAATTGCTTATATTTTTTAAAATACATGACAGCGAAATGCATCACAATTCTTATTACTCATATAGAACACAATTTTTCATATCTCTGTACATAGAATATGTTCATACCAATTCATGTCTTTATATATATACTTTGGATAATGATGTCTATCACATTCCTCCATCATTGCTAACCCCCTGTCCCCTTCCTTCCCCTCCCACCCCTCTGCCCTATCTAGAGTTTGTCAATTCCTCCCATGCTCCCTTTCCCTACCCCACTATGAGTCAGTCACCTTATATCAGAGAAACCATTCACTGGTTTTTTTTTTGTGTGTGTGTGTGGGGGGGGAGGGGATTGACTAACTTCACTTAGCATTATCTTCTCCAATTGCATCTATTTACCTGCAAATGCCATGATTTTATTCTCTTTTATTGCTGAGTAATATTTCATTGTGTATGTATGCCATATTTTTAAAATCCATTCATCTACTAAAGGGCATTTAGGTTGGTTCCACAGTTTAGCTATTGTGAATTGTGCTGCTATAAACATTGATGTGGCTGTGTCCCTGTAGTATGCTGTTTTTAAGTCCTTTGGGTATAGACTGAGGAGAGGGATAGCAGGRTCAAATGGTGGTTCCATTCCAAGTTTTCCAAGGAATCTTCATACTGCTTTCCACATTGGCTGCACCAATTTGCAGTCCCACCAGCAGTGTATGAGTATCTTTTTCCCCACCTCCTCAACATCACTTATTATTGTTTGTCTTCATAATAGCTGCCATTCTGACTGGAGTGAGATGGTATCTTAGAGTAGTTTTGATTTGCATTTCTCTAATTGCTAGAGATGATGATCATTTTTTCATATATTTGTTGATTGATTGTATATCCTCTTCTGAGAAGTGTCTGTTCATGTCATTGGCCAGATAGCCTCTTCAACAAATGGTGCTGGGAAAACTGCAAATCCTCAACTCAAAGTGGATCAAGGACCTAGGAATTAAACCAGAGACTCTCCATGTAATAGAAGAAAAAGTAGTAGTAGTAGTAGTAATCTTCATCATGTGGGATTAGGCCCCAACTTCCTTAATAAGACTCCTATAATGTAAGAATTAAAAACCAAGAATCAATAAATGGGATGGACTCAAACTAAATAGTTTCTTCTCTGCAAAAGAAACAATCTGTGAGGTGAACCGAGTGCCTGCATCTTAGGAGCAAATTTTTACCCCTCACACATCAGATGGAGCACTAATCTCTAGGGTATATAAAGAACTCAAAAAGCTAAACACCACTAATCCCATTCTCAAGGGCTCCACCCTCATGACCTAATTACCTTTCAAAGGCCTTCATTTCCTGATACCAATGCCTTGGGTTAGAATGTCAACAAATGAAGTTTATTAGAGACTTGAACATTCAGTTCATTGCATGTCTCTTATATCTCTCCAGCCAATACTTCTTTCTTCTCTTCCCTTCCCTGTATTATAGTTGTTGACAAAACAGGTCTGTGAATTGCTTTTAAGCTTCTTTCCTGTGTCCCATTTCCTATTAATTGATAGTTGTAAAGATACGACTATCAATTAATAGGAAATCAAGAAACTTGATTTGGTTTTTATTTTATTTTTTAGGCAGGGCTACTTTACATGTGTTCCACAGTAGTTCTGCTAGTGTGCACCTGATATGTAGTTTTTTCAACTTTTGAGATGTCAACAGCTATTGATAATCACTTTCTAAATCCTTCATCAGTAGTTTCAAAATAGTGCTATTCCTATTTTATCATTTATCAGCTGGTCTATTTCTTTCTTATTAAGAGAAACTTTTTTTGTCAACAACTGTTTAATTTTTCCAAGATAATTAATACAGGGTAGATGGGATAAATGCTTAATTATGTGCTTCTTCCAATTTGAAGAAATGAGGTGCCAAATTATCACATTCAAGTAAGACCTATTTCTTTTTGAATTTGGACTATGATGACCTCATAGATTTAGACACATTTGAAACATTTTAATCCATGGTAGATAGTCTTCCAATTGGTCCTCCAGTTATGACATTCTTGGCCAGCAGGAGACCCTTCAAATTGACTCCTGGGACTTTTTATATGCCTTTAATAAGATTTGATAGTGTTATGGTGTTATGGTTTAAAGCTCATGTGTGAAACAATGCAAGAAAGTTTAGAGGTGAAATGGTTGGGTTATGAGAGCTTTAACCTAATGAGAGCATTAATCCACTGACAGGATAAATAGGTAGAGTGTGGCTGGAGTAGGTGGGTCCTGGGAGGAGTGCCCTTAGGGTTTTTATTTTGTCCCCTGGTGTGTGGGGGGGCTGTCTGTTTCTCTGTGCTTCCTGATTGTCCTGTCCTGAGCTGCTTTCCTGTGCCTTATCCTTCCTCCATGGTGTTCTGCCTC